CGGAGCCCAGCTTCCGGCCGCGCCCCCGAGGGTCGCCTTCGCCTCCTGGTCGTGGAAGGCGTTGCCTGGCCCCGCGGCTCCGGTAACTGCTTCTGGAAGCGCGGTTTCATTGGTAGAACTTGTCCTGGGCAGTGTAGAGCAAGGAAGCAAGCTCGGTCCCATCTTTCCGGGATGCCTAAGGGCGGCGTGCGGGGCGCACCAGCTGAAGGTCTGGCCCCAGAGGGGGGCAGAAAGACCGGGAAGGGCCCTTGCGGGCTGGTGGGGCGCTGGCCTGAAGGAAGGGACTGGAGAGTCGGCCTGAGCCCTAGGGGCTTCTCTGTCTTGGGCTTGGAGGAGACTGTGACGCTCGGCTCCACCTCCAAGAAGACCCCATGAGCCTGCTGGTTCCGCAGATTGTGGTAGCAGATTGGACACCAGCCACCCGCCTGAGAGCTGTCCTGGCTTAAGGTCTGGCTGCACAGCTTGGGCTGTGGGGTCTGTGACACTGCCATCTGCCCCTCAGGCCAGCGACCATGAGAGTCCCTGGTGTCATTCTCCAGGGGCTCTGTGCTTTCCTTCCTGGCTTCCTGCACCCAGTCACACCTTCAAAACCAGTCCCTTTATTAGAGTGATCTTCAAGCCACCCAGAATCGCTGGCCTCAGTTTCCCTCCAGGACCTGGAAGGCCTCTGGGGTGGGGGAGGGAGGAGCAGCCTCACGCTGAGCCCAGGAAGCTCTTGCCCTCCGTCCCCAGTGTGGGGCCTGGTTCTGGTTTTCTTCTCCAGTTCTCTGGAGTAAGGGGCAATAAGGAGGGTGAGCCAGCACTACACTCTCATACGTACCCCTCCTGGGGGCTCCGGACAGCTTTCTCCCCCACCCCTAGCCAGAACTGGCTGGCCCTGGCAGGGTGGAGAGTGGTCACAACCACTCAGGCCTCCCCAGGGTGGCCAGTGGCTTGAAGGACAGGGCAGAGCAGCTCCAGGGATGGCCAGCAGGTCCGACACAGACTCTGGCAGGGAGAGGGAAGCAGAGAGCCTGGACAGAAGCCAGGAGTAGACAGGGACCCGGGGACAGCTGGGCCAACTACAGGCTGGAGGGCTCTCTGTGGGGTCACCGCGTGCCGTGTGTTAGGAGGTGATCGTCCAGTTCGTCCTGCACCCAGGACCCCATGTAGCCCACCGCTCAGCCCCCATCCTGGCATCCTTCCCAGGCTGTGGGAGCTTGCCCATACCTCCTGCCCCTTAGGGGCAGGGACAAGCCCGGGAGTGACTTGCTCCATGGTTGGCCGCCAGCCCCCAGGGGCCCCAGCCTGGCAGAGCAGGCCCCACCCCTCAGACATCACTGCTGATGTAGAGTCCCCTGGCACTCACAGTAGGGACAGTCTGCGCCTCATGATTTATGGACTTTAATTTCCCCAGATCCTGAGTCGTGCCCCTTCTCTGCCTCTGGCCTGTCAGGGTGTTTGTCTCCCAGCCCCCTTCAGACCCTCTCCCCCCCCCACCTGTTTTTTAATTTGAAGCATCTGTCTGGAGCTTCCGGAGGTGGGGACGTCTGCAGTCCTGAATGCATTACATGCTGACAGCTCTATTGATTTTCTCTCTTGCACTGCATAATGCAAGATGTATACAAGTGAAAGGCTGGCCCTTGTCCCTTACTTTGAAGGGACTGTGCCCTTTTTCTTTCTCACTCTAATGTCCCCGCGCCCTGGCACATGTTGATATATAGGAGGGGTGCCTGTCCCTTACGCTCAAGATGGATTCCCCTCTGCCCCAGTATTACTCTCCTCACTGCTGGTGAAAGCAGACTCATCTATCCTTATTGTGGTAGCAGATTGGACACCAGGGAAGCAGATCGTGAGGGGAAAGGGGCCAGTGGGGTGGCAGGGGAGTTGAGGAGGTGTTCTCCGTCAAGACCAGCTGCCCCGATGGGGGAGCCTGGCTGGGGCTCTCTGAGGGGTGCTCGCGCTAAGCCTCCAGTCTTGCCTCGGACTCCTGTCCCGCCAACAGCCACGGAGGCAGCTGCCACCCCGTGTGCTGCTTCTGCTTCTCAGGCCCTCTGCTCAGGCTGCTCAGAGCCAGCTGTGGTGGCCTGGCCCGTGGTGGGAACTAGCACCCTCCTCGGAGAACGAGGCTCAGAGATCTCAGATCTGTCTCCAGGAATGGTCTTCCTGTGGGAAGACCACTCAGATTGAAGCTCCCCAGCCTAAGTGCTCCTCTGCTCTGGGGGTGGGGGGGCTCTTCGTGTGCCTGCCCCGCCCCCATAATGGGTGGCTCCCTAGGGTCCCCTTCCGGCCCCAGGGGGAGAAGCAGTACCGCCCACGTGTGGCCTTGCCTCTTCGTCACCTCTGCGACTCATCTGTGAATTCCCTGGAACAGGGACAGGATCCTTACTCCTGTATTTTTTCCACTTGCCCAGGGTTTGGCACCAAGGTGCAATGCACAGATGCTGCCGCGGCAGAGAAGGTGCCCGGCACGGTACCTGGTCAGCAGAGGAAACCTCGAACCAGCGAGTGAGCTCGCTGCTCTCTTTGGGCACCTTAAAGGTGGGCTCGGCGCCTCTTCCCCCTTGTCCCTCACCACTCACACAGACGAGGCCACCTGCTGGAGGAGGTGTGGCAGACGCGCTGGGCCAAGCAGGTCCCCCTGCTCACCGCCGAGGACCAGGCGCCCAGCCAATGGCACTGCGCCCGGCTCTCTGCGGACCATAACTGGCCACGCCTACCTTAGCAGCCCGGGATGCCCGAGCGAAGGCAGCCAAGCATAGACTCCTTTGGAGTCCCAAAGCAAGGCTTTGAACCCATAGGCGAGGCCGGCTGGGGACTGCACAGATGGTGGCCTGGGCCCAGAGGTGACCTAGATATAGGCTCAGAACAGGCTCTAGCTAGGGAGGTACCTCGGCGGTAGAGCACCTGCCTACCTTGTGCAAGGCCCTGGGTTCCATCCCTAGCACTGCAAAAGAAAAATATTTTAATCAATCAAGTAATTAATTAAAGAATTAAATGCAAGCACAGAATAACGAAGCCTTTTATAATACTATACTAATAGATATTGTGTTGGGCCACCTAATTTTTTTATTTCATTCTTTATGGTGGAATATATTGTTGTGTCTATACCGTATTTTGTTTTGGGGGTACCGGGGATCGAACTCGGGACCTTGCGCTTGCAAGGCAGGCGGCAGCACCACTGAGCTAAATCCCCAGTCCTATACTGTATTTTCTTTACCTGTTCATCTATGGATGGTCATGTAGGCTGTCTCCAGAGTTAGCGATTGTGAATTCTTCACTATGAGCGCAGGTATGCTTGTGTCTCTATTAGAGACTTTTCTGTTGTGTTTTGTTTTTTTGTTCCAGGGATGGAACCTGGGACCTTGTGCTTGGGAGGCAGGTGACAGCACCACTGAGCTAAATCCCCGGGCCCTATTAGAGACATTTTTTACCGTCATGACAGAGAGGCCTGCCCTCGACTGGCAGAGGCCAAGAGTGTGGCTCAAAGTCCCCCGGCGTCCAAAACAGCCCCACCTTCCACCCCACAGGGCGAGATCAGGCCCAGGGAAAGTGTGGCAGCCTGCGCTGTGAGTAAGAGACCCTCTGCAGCCTGACCAGCCATACTTCAGGGCTCCCAGCTCTGCCGCTCAGGACCTCTCAAGCAGGCCTCAGCTCTCTAGGGGGTTGGTGGGTGGGGGTACCCGGCACCCTGCTGTTCTCACCATCTTGGATTCCAGAAAAACTCTGACATGTTTACCCTCTCTCTCCTTCCTCCGTGCCTGCCTTTGCCCGGTCACCGACTTTAGGGCGAGGGGCTGGTGCCAGTACAATGGGGAGTGAGCCCTCAGAGCTGGTGCTGACCTTGGCTTTGGGGGGCCAGGCAGGATTGAACCCCAGGACCTTTGCACTAAGCCACATCCCTAGCCATTTTTTGAAATTTTTCTTTGAGGGGATTTGGTTCAGTGGTTCTGCCGCCTGCCTCGCAAGTGCAAGGTCCCAAGTTCAACCCCTGGTACCACAAAAATAAACAAATACATTTTTTTTCTTTGAGATAGGGTCTCTTATTACAGGTGTGTGCCCCTAAGCCCAGCTGACTTTAGGTATGTGTTCAATGTAAGCAGCAACCCTGGGAGGAAGGAGAGAGAAGCAGTCTCCCCTCCCACACACCCCAGAAAACACAGCATTAGAAACAAGGAAGCCAGCTGGGTGTGGTGGTGCACACCTGTAATCCCAGCACTCGGGAGGGAGGCTGAGGCAGGAGGATCCCTGTGAGTTCGAGACCAGCCTCAGCTACATTGTGAGTTCCAGGTCAGTCTCAACTACATAGTGAGACCCTGTCTCAAAACAAAATAAAAATTAAAAAAATAGAAACAAGGAAGCTGGAGCTCCAGAGATCACGCTGGTCAGTGAAGGCTGTGGCCCTGGAACCCAGATGATGCTCACAGTGGCTGGGGAGGGGGCTCCTGGGCCTCAGGCCGAGCCAAAAGCCTCTCAGCCTCTCCTCCTATTACCCACCCCAGACCCTGCTCACCTCTCTTCTGACCCTGCAGAACTTCAGACATTCCCAGAAACACTCCTCATTCTCCTGTCAGCAAATATCCCTTCCCTCCTTCCTGTCTGGAAGTCTTTCCGCCCACTTCTCACAAACTCCTACTCACCCTGCATAGAGTCAGACCCCTGTCACCTCCAGTGACAGCCCCCAGTGACTCCCTCAGGAGTCAGAGCCGCCGGCTCTGGGCCTCGTTCACACCTTGCTATTGATATAGGACACATGAGCTATGGATGAATAGGGCCTCCAAATAATGGAAGGAAAAGATAACTCCCAACCTGCTACGTGTCCGGACGCGCTGAGTTCATGTTATCTAAAATCGAAGAATGAATCCTAGGAACAAAGGCGGTTAAGAGTAGAAAGAATTTATTGAAAGAGAGATACCTTCTGTCTGAGGCAGAAGGGGGCCCAGAAAGTGGGTGGCCTGCTCACCCTACCTCTCGGAGATGTTTTGAGCAAAGCCTCGAGGCGAGGCAGGGTCCAGGTGGGACAAAACTATAATCAGTGAATAAGATGACAAGTATAGTTGCTTAGGTAACATTGATCCAACGGGGACACCACAAGGCGGGTACGAGGTGAGACATAACTAAGGTCAACCAATAAGGTTACAGCAAGTATAGTCGCTTAGGTGATATTGATTAAACGGATCAAATGGGAAAGCAAGTCACTTAGCGAGCGTACTAGGCAGGAACATGGGTTTCCCAGAAGGTTTTGGTGCCCACCCAAGGTGATCAATACCTATTTAGAATATCAGTCACTGCTGTTCATCTCTAGGGGGAGACTACAGGTGTAGCAGTTCCTCTGTTTGGAATCCTGGCCGTCCATAAATGGGCCTCTGTTGACTTTGACTCCCCGGGGGTTCCAGCCCTCTCCGACTGCCTATAATCTCTCCCAGTAACTCAGCCGTCCACAACACTGTGGGATCACCGAGGCCAGAGAGTGTTTGGGTCTGGAGCTAGGCTGTGGTTCTCCCCAGGGCCCGTCCTGTCCTGGCCACCAAGCAGATCTCAAAGGTTGCCCGGGGCCATGGAATGACCCAAATGAGGCAAAATCTGAGAGGCCAGGGTTCCTCACAGCTTCTGCAGTCCAGGCCACTTCCACACCTCAGCTCTCCTGCGAGGAGGGAGCGGGGCTTTCGGCAGACCCCAGTGTCCTTATAAACTGAAGAGAGGAGAGTGGCCAAGGGAGGCGCCCTGGAGGGAGCGGGCAGGCCAAACGCTCCGCCTCCCTCGGCCCGGCCCACAGAAGAGCCAGCCTGGGTCCTGCAGCTCGGTCTGGGATGTTCCTACCCAGGCTCTGGGCTCCTACAGCGCCCCGGGCCCCCTGCACACTGCAATCTCCCATGCAGGCATCACAGGGAGCTTGGCTCTGCGCAGGGACTCTGGACCCTTCATTTCCCACCGTCCCGCGTCACATCCTGACACTTGGCACTGTCCCTCTGCTGCGGGGGTGGGGGGTCCCCTCCAGGAACCCTGCCTCACCTTTCAGCAGCTGTCTCTCCTCTTCTGGGAGCTGGAGAGGGCCGAGGGTCCTTGAGCAAGTTTGCTTCTGTGTTTATTACTATACATCTACGTTCTCTTAAATGACACAATTCGAGTGGGAGAACATCTGCCCGCTCCTGCTGTCCCCAGTCTGGGTCCTGCTGGTCCTGCACAGGACACACACACACACACACACACACACACGACCCTTCAGTCATTCACTAAGGGAGAGCACACACTGTGTTCCAGGGGCTGCCGCTTTGGGCGCTCTAACCCCTCTCCACCCCTTCCTCCATCAACCCCTCCACCGCCTCCATACAGTGAGCTCTCGCAGAGGCCACGTCCACGTGGGTCCTCGGATGTCATCCCTGAGCACCTACCGTTCTCCTCAGCGTCGCTCCAAGAGTCACCAGCAGAATGCTCAGCCCCGTCCTCAAAGAAACACAAGTGGAAACGTACAAGAAGCACAGCGCCCAGCTCTCCGAGAAGTGACCACACCAAGTGACAGGTAAGAGGCTCGGGGCGAAGGGCCCAGCCTGCAGGCAGAGGGGAAAGGCTCCGGTCAGGTCGGAAAGCACCCAGTGTGTGAAGAAGCCCTTGTCTGGCTGAGAGTGGGTTGTTTGTGGAAAATCGAGGGGTAGAAATACAAAAAAGGAGCATCCATCTGAGAGGGCAGAGGGCTGGAGAGGTCAGGCCGAAAAGTGTGGAGGTGTCCTCAGGGCAGGGAGCCCTGGACTTGCAGATCACACCTGGGTTCCAGACATCTAAAAGGAAGCTTCTGCCAATGAGCGTTCCCGGAGTTACACCCCAGACGCATCATTAAACCTGCAGAACATGTCGGCCTTCTTTAGGAGACTCCAGTACAGTTAGCGTTGTCATTCAGGGTCTCTCTGCAGCGAGGACTACTGCTTTATTCATCCTGCATCACCAGCACCCCTGGGCAGGTGCCCAACCTGGGCTCCTTCCCCAGAGGGAGGGGAAAGGAAATGGATTCAAAGTGAAGTTCAGTGCCCCCCTCCCAGGCTGCTCTGTAACAATCAGCACGAGGCAATTACATTCTGCGGCTGTTATTAAATTGGGGGATTAAATAAATAAATAAATAAATAGGGGGATAACAAACACAATAAAATGTAGACATTTGTAGAAAGGTTAAAACAAAATGGAAGCGATGGATAAAAATAAAATTGAGGGCCGGGCGTGGTGGCGCACACACCTGTAATCCCAGCACTCGGGAGGCTGAGGCAGGAGGATCGCTGTGAGTTCCAGACCAGCCTGGGCTACATGGTGAATTCCAGGTCAGTCTCAGCTACACAGTGAGACCCTGTCTCAAAACAAAACAAAAACAAAAACAAAAACCCACTTTCTGATACAAAGGCCACTATCGGGGCAAAGCCTGATCCCAGGGGCAGATGCCTGCTACTGGAAGCAGTAACTTGCTTGTGCTGTACACAGATTCATGAAGGAATGAGAAGCAGCTAGGGGGAAGGCGCCTCTGAGTGGACAAAGAAGCAGGAAGGCCCTGCTGACCACAGAAGCCGCCCTTTAAATAGGAGGCCAAAGCCGGGCCTGGTGGCACCGGTCTGTAATCCCAGCACTTGGGAGCCTGAGACAGGAGGATTGGCACAAGTTTGAGGCCCGCCTGGGCTACACAGAGATCCTGTCTCAAAAAAAATATGAATCAAAAAGAAAATGTGAGGAACCCCAGCAAGAGATGCTCAAGGTACATAGGAGAGTCCCTTTCATTAAACGAATTATCCGTGTAGGTCCCAATACACAAGTCTAGTAGTGCATTTCAGCTAAAACCTAGAGAAACCAAGCTGAAGGGTTAGAGGTTTTGTTTATTTTTGCCAGCTGCTCTACCACTGACCTACTTCCCCAGACTCAGGTGTTGGAAGTTTTAGAGGAAGACGGCAAATGGCTGCATCCCCAAGAAGGGACAGACGGGGCTGGGGAGAAGAGGAGGAGAAGGAGGGAGGCTGGGAAGGTTGGCAGCCAAGGCCGCCCTTTACTTCGAAGAGCTGCACTACCAACCAGGACCAGAAGGGGGCAGGGCTGTTGAATTGGAAGGGGAAACGCATGTAGGACGCTTGACCCTTTGCAGACACTGTAGCTAGTTTCCTTTTTTGGGAGGGCTTAACTGCCCGGAAACGGAAGTTCGTTCTTTTGCGTGGTCTTCTGTTCTCTCCGGTGGCTGTCTTTCTGTCGGTACGATGGAAGAGGGGGGTAATCCGGAGCAATCCGCGGTCCGGTGGAGCTTGGGGGCCTAGGGCTTGCATCGAGGGTGCAGGGGGCGAGTTGAGAGTGTGACGGGGCCTGTTTTTCGGGCGATGGAGGGAGAACGGGGGGTCGCAGCTGGTGCGCTATTAACACCTAGGACTATTTTCCGCAGGTAGAGATCCGCGCCCTCTGAGCGCCTCGTCGCCATGGTGAGTAGGATCCTTGCCTGGCACTTGAACGGGGAGGCTCGGGGCCGAGGGTTTTGGTGGATTTAACTGTTACCAGAAGGCGAGAGTCTCTGGAGTTTATTCCTTCTCGTTTTCTAGCCTCGAAAAATTGAGGAAATCAAGGATTTTCTACTCACAGCCAGGCGGAAGGATGCCAAATGTAAGTGGTTTCTCTGAAGGCCGGGAGATGGGATGGCGGGGGGAGGCACTGTCGAGTTGGTGCGTAGAAGACTGATCTGCTTCGGTGCTGCCAGAGCGTCCTTTGCAGCATCTCAGGCTCTGCAGGCCGAAGCCGTGTGACCACGTGCCTACCTGTCATATTTTCCCAAGGAAAACCCCTAGGGCGAGTGTGAAGGGAAAGTGTTCCTAGGGGTAACTCCATGTAATTTTGAGGGTCTCGTTTTGTTCTGTGCAGTGGGTTCTCTGAGTGGAATCCTCACTGCATGAAAGTCTCGTGTCTCGTTCACTCTGAGTTTAGTACTTCATGTCGTCTTTGGACCCTGGGTGAACTGAGTACAGTGCTGATCGCAGTGAGCTTTTTTATTAAGCAGTTTGGCATCTGCTTGTATTAGTTTTTTTGGCCTGCAAATAAAGGGGAAAGGAAATAATGAACCAGAACTATAAAATAAGCAGATTTTTTTACTTGCATGTCAGCGTCTGCTGCCCGTGTACCCTTTTTTTTTTTTAACACGGAGAGCGAGAGGGAGCTGTGTTATTCTTTTGTTAGAGTGAAAGGATGTTTAGAGGCGTGTGCTTTTTAATACCGGGTAGATCTCGAATTTGTTAGCACTTTAACCTAGAATCGACATTTTTGTACTAAATGAAATACCCTTTGACTTCTTCTGATAGATTTATCTTACAGAGCACCAGATGATTTATGGAAATAGTAGTTTTGGGCTGGCAAGTTCAGTTTGATTATCCCTAACCAAAGGATGGTAGGCAGGGAGTCTTTGAATGACCCGTGGGATGGGTGGGGGAAGGGAGTGAGCGTGATTTTGCCCCCAGTACCCAGAACACACATTGTCTTTGATCCTCTGGCAGGACTCCCTGCCGCATAGCTGTGGGGACAGCTGGTGGTGGAGTGCTTTACACACATGCAATTAGGAGGTCAGTTTTAGATCCAGCCATTCAGTTAGACTCTGCCTCTTCAAATTCCAGCTTTCCTGGAAGGTGGCTGTTCTTGGTACGTTAGGCTAAATCCTTTCCTTCAGTGTAAAGGAAGTGGTAATAAGACTGTATCTTGAGTTTCTGTCTCAGGATTGGTGCAAAGATCAAATCCTACAATCTGTCAAATCTCTTAATAGGCTAAGAAATAATACAAAACCAACCAGATGGATTTGGGCCATCTGATTGGTAGCCTGGTTTCAGATGCGTGGCTTGTAAAGGTGGGGATCATATCCTGAGCATAAGATGTTCAGAGGGGGTTTGTTAAGTACACCTTTGTTTCATTTACAGTATTTGGGAATGGGATCTGACTGGGTTGCCCCGGCTGGCCTTAAATTCTCAGTCCTACCTCATCTGTCTCCTGAGTAGTTGGGATTGCAGGCATGCACTGTTTGGCCCTGCTTTTTTTTTTTGCACCAGGGATCAAACCTGGGACCTTGTGCTTGTGAGGCGGGCAGTGGAACCACTAAGCTAAATACACACATGGTTAATATCCTTGGCCGTTTTTAAATGCACGTGTTACTGGCTTTGGCGCATTGACATCAGCCAGCTAGTGCCATCAGTCTCCAGAACTCTTACAAAACCGAAACTGTCCATTAGACACCTTTCTGTCGCCAGATTTGATGATTATTCCTCATATAATGGAATCATCTGAGCTTTCGACTGCCTTGTTTCACTTAGCATGATGTCCTCAGGGTTCATCTGTGTTGTATTTGTCAATTTCCTTTCTAAGGTTAAGTATTCCACTGAGTGGGTAACACCACATACTGTTTTTTTATATATATGTGTGTGTGTGTGTGTGTATGTATGTATGTATATATATATATCATTCACTATTAATGAACAGCACTGCTGTGGACATGGGTGGGTGGTTTGTTAGTGTATGTTTTTTGTGGTGCTGTAAATTGAACCTAGGGCCTTTCCCATGCTAGCTAAGTGCTCTACCACTGACTCCATTCCCAGCCCACTGTGCAAATACCTTTTCTTTTGTTCCTTTCCAGTCTTTTGGGTTTATACTCAGAAATGCTGCATGCTATGATATGGTAATGGTGAAGAAACAGTCTTTTTTTTTTTTTTTTTTTTTTTTTGTACCGGGGATTGAACTCGGCCACCGAACCGCTGAGCTAAATCCCCGGCCCTGAAGAAACATTCTTAAGAGATATGTATGTCTTTAGAAATTGCGCTCAACAGTTGCAGACCCAGACTGCCACATTCATTTGGCTTTCTGTCTCCTTGATTGCTTCTTTTCAGTCTCTTGCTTGTTCTGCCTTATCCCCTTTAAGTAAATGTTCGAGTGCCCAGTGCTCAGTACATGGGCCTCTTTCTATACCTGTTACCAAATTTTCACAGCTATAAATACCATCTATGTGCCAGTGGCTCCCCGAATGTATTTCTCCAGCCCAAACTTTTCCCCTGAACTCCATACTCCAGCTGCCCACGTGACTTTTCCCATCTGGATGTTTGGTGGACATCTGAAGCTTGTTTAATGAGCATGTCCAAAGCTAAACGCCTGCTGCCCACATTCCTCCATCCGTCTTTCACCTCAGTTGATGGCAACTCCATTATAGTCACTCAAACCAAATATCTTCATGTCGACCTAGACTTGTCTGTGTTACATGCTGCCGCTCAACCTTCAAAATAACTTGGCATGCAACAGAATATTACTTAGCTATGTAAATGGAAATACTAATACTTGTAACACATGGGTCTTAAAAATACTCTGAGCTAAAATAAAGCCAATAAAAGAAAATGCATACTGTATGACTCCACCTATATGAAATTTCTAAAATGAAAAACCTCATCTATAGTGATAGCAGAGCAGCAGTTTCCTGGGGCTATGGGTCAGGAGTGGGGACTGAGGGATTTAAAGGAATCTTCTGGAGTGGTGGAAATTGTGGTAGTTAAGAGTAAATTTATCAATGCCCAGTGAATTCTAAAATGTGTATATTTCAGTTTATGCTGTGTTTCTCTGAATTGATTATATATACAGAAAAATGGTGTTCAGCTTAGTTTTCAAGAGTACAGTAGCTGTTAGGGACGCTGGTTTCGTTAGTGTGGTAGGGAACTGAAGTAGGTTAGCTTGTGTGCATATATCCAGGTGTCCGGGTTATTAAAAATGAACCGGAATAACCATTGTCTTGGGCAGGCTGTGAGCCCACAGTGTGCTTCCTGTAGGGTTTCCTGTCGTTTTACTGGTTATTGGCAGAAATAGAGTTGTAGCTTTGTGCTCTTCTGTGAGGTTAGGTGCTCTGCTGTGTGTCTGGTTAGGTATTTGGGTTGAAGCACTGGGCTCTTAACTGCATTTGTAACGGTGAGTTTGCAGGTGTCTGAATGGTTCCTAAGGAAATTGGAACACGAGATCTGATCAGTGTAGGCAGTGGGTAGCACTGCTAGCAAGTGGCTGCCAGGTAGACAGATGGAAATGAATTCACAGCACAAACGCTACACTGTTGAATTGAGGTGGCTTGGGCCTTGTGTCTGAGCTGTGACCCCAGGATAGAATTTAGAAACAAGAAAGAACCCAGGAAACAAGTTTCAGCTAAATGTTAGGAGCGGCTGCGTGCATGCTGTGTCTCATGGAGAGGGGTGGGTGGATATCCTGAAGGAGGAGCTCTGTCTTCCCCAGGTGTCATCTTGCGTGCAGAGAGCAAAGCTCTGGAGAGTTCTTAAATCGCAGAAGATAACCCAGCCTCCTTACTTTGTGATCTACTTCCTCCTGTCCCTCTAAAGAAGTGATAATAATTAGGTCAGTGCAGAACATTCCACAATGCTGTGCTCGACATACTAAATACCTATACTTTAAATATGAACTAGTTAAAATCGAGTAGAGCCCGTGCTCTTGAGTTGATGGAGCGAAGTGTAGATTTCGGGCCCCAGTTCAGCACAGGCAGGCGGGAGCTTCACCTCTGTCAGTGGCTGCTGACTGGTCACATGCAGTCACTCAGTTGCTACCGCGTGTGTATAAAGATCATGAGCTGTATGGTGTTTGTTTCTGTAATACAGTTGCTAATTCTGGTCTCCTTGGCAGCCGTCAAGATAAAGAAGAACAAAGATAATGTGAAGTTTAAAGTCAGGTGCAGCAGATACCTTTACACCTTGGTCATCACAGACAAAGAAAAGGCAGAGAAACTGAAGCAGTCCCTGCCCCCAGGTTAGTGAGCCCCTTACTGTGGAAACACTTGATATTTTAACCAGAGCCTGTCTTGTGAGCTCTCCTTAGCTAAAAGGACAAAATCTGGATGGACCACTTAACAAAATGACTTATGTCGTTTCTTTTCCTCTAGGCTTGGCAGTAAAGGAGCTGAAATGAACCAGCCAGACTGATGTGAAGTGTATTAAAAAGCTTTGAAATTCTATAAAGTGTCCTCTGTCTTTGAAGATGAGGAAGAGGGTGCTGTTTAGGGGTGGGTTCTGGCTGGTACTTCTTGTATTGTGAATATTGGGCTGGAAGGCAATAGAGGTAGGTAGATGGTCACCATGAGAGTAAGCAAAACAGCCAAGTGTAGGGGCCAGCCTGCACTCCAAGACTTAACGGTGGTTTCAGGTACACTGTTCAGAAGTAGTGTTTTCAGGCTGGCACTTGCATGGCAAAGGACTCCAAAAGAGCCTTAGAGAACAGAAGCTGTGCTAGCCTACTGTGGAGTGATGGGACAGGCGTTTCAAGGAATAGGGAAGACGGGGGAAGACACAGTGGAGAGTGACCTTGGAGACGAGTCTCCAGTTGACATTTCAGGGGAGAACCCTATTTCTGCACCGATCTGAAGAGTCCTTAGCCTTAGATCTAAAAGCAGTGGCATTTCTCTGGCAGGAGTGGAAGTGGTGATAGGACCTGCTTTTCTAACATCCATAAACAGCCAAATCCAGCATGGGTAATGAAAGGACCAACCAGGTCTGACTTCTTGGGTATTAGATCCTGATCTTGCCACTTGGTAATTCCTATTGTGTTGAGAAATTCTGCCTGTTTCCTTGGAAGGAAAATAGTATATTAATGCCTTATTGGTTTGCTGAGTTAAATATGCTAGTGTGTTAAGTTTTGAACTGTCCTACCACTCAATACTGTACTGACAAATAGCAGTGGGCCAAGGTGGCTAAGGGTAAGGGTTATGTTGGGACAGGCCACCAGGGGGCGCCATGGTGCAGCAAGTAAACAGTCACCTGTAAACATTTAGAAGGGGCTTACATCAAAATACATTTTCAAGTGTAGGTGCCTGGGTAGATTTATTTCCACTCGTGGCTTTTTTTTAAGTGATAAACCATGTATTTGTTACTACGTTAAGTGGTTAGCATTTCTATAACAACTTAGAGGATGTGAGGTAGTTTTCAAATGTCGAGTTTATTAAAGTGTGGACTTTGTTTACTCCAGGAAGGGGTGATACAAGGGCCACTCAGTAATTGGTGGCATCTTTAGAAGCTTTCAGGTCTTCCCCTTTAAACATTAGGATTCCCAAGGGAGAGTGAGTTTGCCGCTTTGGCTTTCTCTGTCCCTGGCACATTGTGCAGAGATTCGCCCCAGCTCCTAGGAGACAAGCTTTGTGGGGAGAAGGCCTCCTTTCATGCCACGCTCCCCACCCTGGCTTGTGCTGGCTGACTTGGATTCCAAGTCAGTGGGAATGGTCTGAAGCCTGCATCAGATGTCCTGTGTCCCTGGCTCACCTCTAGGGCCGTGTGCCTTTGGGGAAGCAGCTAGAGCGCTCGCTGTCAGCTCTTGGTATTCCGAGCTGCTCTCGGCTGGCTGTGGCTGTAGCCCAGAGGGCGAGCCCTTGAAGTTAGCTGCTTGAGTGTCACGCACCAGTCTGACCCAGGCCCTACTCTGTCTCGAGTTCTGCAGCCGGGTCTAAGCCAGTCCAGGGTGACTGCCTACTCCCCACAATGCAGATACCTCGCACCTGGGCACTGTGGTCTTGTCCTCCCTTCTCAGCGGAGGCACTGTCCCGTTGTGGTTCTGATCTCTTCCTAGAGGAACAACATCCTGTAACTCAGTCGGACACTGATGTGTTGGGAGGCTTCATAGCAAGGGTGAACCGCCTTGCCCTGTGCTGTTGGTCTGAAGAAGGCGGGCAGGAGGGAGGAGGTATCTGCCAAACAGCCTCTCAGATCCAGATGGGTTGCACCTGTGATCTGGCCCTTGCTTACTTCACCAACCTCTGCTAAACCTGCGTGAAGCCTGTTTTCAAATGAATTTCACCTTTTTGCTGAAAGGGTATAACTCTGATCCTGACACTTGCGTCACCCCAGCCCCCCCACAGTCAGTGTGCACTCTCGCCTCCACTTGCCAGATCCTCCTACCCACAGCTCAGACCTGCCATCAAAATACCCCCAACCCCACCCCACCCATGTTAGCTCCCCATCATTCACCAGCTCAGCTTAACTGTGGTTTCAAGAGAAACATCCTAGCCCTGGCTCAGAGCACTCAAGAGGTTTGTAATTAAGCACTGTACAGGCTTAAAAATGCCCCACTTCCCCTACTAAAACCCTGCAGACCGAAACTTGCATGATTTATCACTGACCCCCAGAACCGGGAAAAGGTACCCAGATGTGCAGAGTTGGTGAAAGAAGCCCCTGTGAATGAGAGGTCCCCAGCCTCCCCTGCCCCTCCAGCCAGCCTCAGCTTTGGGTATGGCAGCCCTCAGTCTCTGGCATCTACTGGGTTGTGCCGACCTGGAGAGGCTGGGGATGGCAGCGCTTGACTCCTGGCCCAGCGTCTCGGTTTGAGCCTGAGGTGTCTGTTGCCCGCAGGGTATCCAGAACAAGCTGAAAATCCAGGAATTCCTCCTGCCCTGCCAGATTTCCTTTCTCCCTCGCGTCCTCCCACCTCTCTTCACTTCACCCCATTGGACTGGCTTCCCAGCGCTGTCTCCAACCAAGCTGCTCCTGGCGCCACCTTGCCTTTTCACGGGCCCCACCTGCTTCCAGTCTAGGCGTCTGGCTCGCTCACTCGAGCTGTCCGCAGTCGGGTGGGGGCTCTGTTGGTGTGCAAAGGTCTGAGGCCCGAGTGGCTCTGCTGAGGGCAGCTGCCCAGCGGCCGCCCCACCCTGCCCAGCTTCCCCCCCCCCAAGCGCAGTCTAACCCGGCGCTCCTGGCGTGCCAGCGTCCGCACCCGGGAAGTGCAGTGCGCGGAGCTGGGGGCCTCCATCTGTTCTCTTGGTCCCCACGTCCCCTCTCTTGGCCCTCGGACAGCTCAAAAGCCTCTTCCTCCAGGACGCTGTCCCAGTCCCTCCCGCTGTCTCTCAGTCCCCAAACACCCGCTCCCAACTTCGGGCGCCGGGCAGGCGGCATCGTTAGCTGCTGGGGCAGCTGGCCCAGCATAGTGGACATAGTGGACGCTCAAATAAAGGACTGGGACTGCATCTGGACGGAATGATCAAGTTCACTCACCCTCTAACAAGCCCGGGGACCCGCCGGCCTCGCCTCGGCCGTGACTTCTACCTCATAGCCTCGATTTCCTATACGTCACTGTAAGAAGCCCGGGGACTTAAGAGACCAAAATCGCTTCTTCCGCCCCTTTCGTTCCTCTGCCATGACAGACCCTGAAGTAGAAAGGGGCTGTAGGCCTCTGGGCGCGGACGCAGGAGGA